TGCTATGCCCATGCTTACCTTGCTCCCGGAGACCCGGTCCCTCTCGGGAGGGTAACAAGGGAAAGTGTTCAGTGCAGATCAGTGAGTAAGCACCAGCCCGCCCGTGCTTACCTTGTTCCCGGAGACCCGGTCCCTCTCGGGAGGGTAACAAGGGAAGTGTTCAGTGCAGATCAGTGAGTAAGCACCAGCCCGCCCGTGCTTACCTTGCTCCCGGATACCCAGTCCCTCTCGGGATGGTAAATTATTTAGGTAACTTAATTTTTAAAATGCTATCACTGTACACAAACATAGGAGGAATACAGGTCTCAAAAATACAAAGACATTCCATTGTCTTTTTACTGATTGAATAAAAGTCCTAACTACCTTTATTTCAAGCTTTTCCTTAACATTAGGAGTAAATCTAGAAATGGAATACTGACCCTGAGAGTAAATTCCTGAGTCCAGGCCTGTTGTTGTTAGGAGTTGCTGAGTTGGCTCCTACTCATAGCAACCCTACGTGCAACAGAACAAAACACCGCCTGGTTCTGTGCCAGCCTCACAATTCTTGCTACACCTGAGCCCATCATTGAAGCCACTGTGTCAACCTATCTCATTGAGGGCCTTCTCCTTCTTTGCTGACCCTCCACTTTACCAAGCATGATATCCTTCTTCAGGGAATGGTCCCTTCTAACAATATGACCAAAGTAGGTGAGACAAAGTCTGGCCGTTCTCACTTCCAAGGAGCATTCCAGCTGCATTTCTTCCAGGACATGGAAGACCATGGTACTTTCAGTATTCTTTGCGAACATCACAACTCAAAAGCATCAACCCTTCTTCAGTCTTCCTTGTTCACTGTCCAGCTCTCACATGCATATGAGATGACTGAAAATAACTTACTCTTCAAGGAGATATCTTTGCTCTTCAGCACTTGGAAGAGGTCTTTTGCAGCAGATTTGCCCAGTGCAATACGTCATCTGATGTCTTGACTGCTGTTTCTATTGATGTCGGTCATGGAACCAAGTAATATGAAATCTCTAACAACTTCAATCTTTTCTTCATTTATTGTGATGCTGCTTATTGGTCCAGTTGTAAGGATTTTCATTTTCTTTATGTTGAGATATAATCCATACTGCAGACTGTCGTCTTTAATCTTCATCAGTAAGTGCTTCAAGTCATCCTCACTTCAGCAGGTTGTTAATGAGTCTTCCTCCGATCCTGATGCCACGTTCTTCTTTATATATACCAGCTTCTCAGATTATTTGTTCAGCATACAGATTGAGTAAGTATGGTGAAAGGATACAACCCTGACACACTCCCTCCATGATTTTAAATCATGCAGTATCTCCTTGTTCTAGCTGTACCTAATTAGCTATGTAACCATGAACAAGTGATTGAACATTTTTATCTGTAAAAGGAAGGCCGTGAATCAGATGATTTCTAAATGTTTCTTTTCAGCTCAAAAAATCTATGGTTGGAATATTGTAAGATGATCTCTTTATTTTAAAATAACACCAAACAGGTATTATTCGATAAGACTTCTCCTTTAAAATTAGATCACCTGATCATTGACTTCAGTGAAATGACTGGGTGACCTCAATACAGAGAGAGGAAAGTAATTAAGAGGCACATGCAAATTTATGTAGAAGTAGCCAATAGGTGGTGGGAGTGAACTACAGGGGAAGACTCTCTGGACTAACTCCGACAGCATACAATCCAAGTATCAGGAGAAGTTAGTGGCCCTAGAGTAAAAACCCTATAGGGTCACTATGAGTCAGAATCAACTAGATGGCAATGGAGTGGCTAAAGTAAAATCATGTATTTCACCATGGTTTAGAATATAGAAATATTTACATTATAGTCTTAATTCAGTTGCTAACAGCAAATCATTGCTAATGGTTTTATTATTTCTCTCTCATAGCATATCCACATTTACAGAATATTTTCTAGTTTATATAAACACTTCAATTAATTTTATATTTTCTAAAATGAGTCCACTTTTTAAATTGTGGATTCAAACGTTTTTTTAAAAATGTGGTTGCACATTCATATTATATTCAAATTCAAAATTATAGTAGAGATCACTCAGCTTTCCCTACAAAAATCATCTGTTGCTTAGTGATCTAGTTTACAAGTAAAATATGACATGCTGCACTTCAAGAACACAAAAACACTGATAATTTTCAAAATTCAGAATAACTCACTGTTTTTATAGTAAAACCATAAAGGTTTTAAACATTAATGTTTCAATCTGTTATTGTTCTCGATAGAAAACTATTATACAAAAGTACCAAATAAACAATAGTGTAAGTCTTAAAGTATTAAAACTATTAGGACATACCTATGTATTTAATAAAAATGTTTCAAAGCCAAATTCTTGAAATACCTATATTAATAATATTTCTTTTAATACATCAGAGGCAAATACTTACAATTTGCTAACAGAGGTGTGGTAGAGACCTCATTTCCTCTGTGTTTGTTGGTTAAAGTTGTTGACTGCTTTATGGGCGAGAAATGCTTTGTTGTAGAGGGAGTGTAGACATGCCTTACTTGAATTCCTGGAGATGGAGATGTATGGATGTTGCACTCAGCTAAGCAAAATAAATTTAAACACATATAAATAATATATTAATGACAAAGCATTTCAATAAAAGTTCTATGTTAGTAGCTATATTAAAAAAGAAATGTATGAGGTATAATAGCTTTAATTCAATTGTTTATCAAATGTTGTTAAATTATTTTTGCCATAAGTTGATACTACCATAGAGAAAGTTTCATGGGGAAAAAAAAAATATATATATATATATATATATATATATATTCTTGAGCAATTTTATTCAGAGATTAAATATTTAACAAATCATTATAAAAGCAAGCCTGTATCATGATGATGGGAACTCTGGTGGTGCAGTGCCTAAAGGCATTTGACTGCTAACCAGAAGGCTGGTGGTTCAAACCTACCAGCCACTCCTTGGAAGGACGACTAGGCCATTTACTTCCGTAGAGATACCACCTCGGAAACCCAAGGGGGGTCACTATGAGGCAGATCCGATTTGACAGCAGTGACTTTGGTTTTTTTTGGTTTATATCATGATGAAAGACTTTAATGCATTATGCAGCTAATGCAAATTAATATTCATTGAATAGGGAATATTAATCTAATTCATCTCAAATAGGCACAAGGAACTTTTTTCTCCTATGATTTTAAAAGGAATAGTAAGGAGCTAAATTGGAAAGTTTGTAATTAAACAAGGCTTAGGTGAGACATTTTTTAAAAAATAAAACAACTCAAAATGTACTTTATTTTAAAATAAAAACTCCACTGCTGTTGAATCAATTTCAACTCATAGAAAACCTATAGGACAGAGTAGAACTGCCTCATAGTTTTCAAGGCTGTAAATATTTACAAAAGCCGACTGCTACATTTTTTTTTCCATGGAGCAGCTGGCGAGTTTGTACCACCAACCTTTCAGCCAAGCACTTTAACCACTGTACTACTATGGCTCCACTCCTTTAAAACAGATATTTAAATATAATCTGAAATTATCTAATTGCTTTCTGTGAGGTTCTAGAAAATCATATTAAAAGATGACTTCCAAACTCTCCAAACTCAAAATCTAATGATGGGAAGACAAACAAACCAACAAACAAGCAAAAAACAAGAACAAATAAACAAAAACAAATGCAGATATTTATACCATAACTTTCAACCTTTAAATAGGACAGATGCCACCTCCAGATCAGAGTTAACTTGATCTTTGAATGTTTTTGCTGTCCTCTTCATTTAAGGACTTCACAAATCGAGAACACACGTTCATATAAAATTGGTTAGGAAATATGAATTTCATCCCCATGGCAACACCCTGGGCTGATCCTTCTTCTGAATTTGAGGCCAGTGGGTGTTCTATTTTAATGTCGGGCATGCCAGTTAGACTGTAACTGCTGGGACACTCTTCCACTATCAGCTGGGCTCCAATATCCAGATTTGTTGATGTAGCCATGATTTCAACTATAGTTTCAATAATTAAAACATTACTTCATGATCTCCTCTTGGTTTTGTATCCAGTGTATTCTTGGGATGTATTTTTTTTAAAAAATCTGAAATACAATTTTAGAAATTATTTATTATACTGACTTAGGTAAATGGACCAAAGATAATAATTTTCAATCAAGTATCCAAACAGATGTGTCTTATAAGCATCTATATATAATAGAAAGCACACCAAGTTCAGAGATAGAGAAACCTGAGTATGGATCCTAGCTTCACCATTTATTAACCTCTGTAAACCCCAGTCACATTTGCAGGGGATACCACCATTTATCTCACAGGGCCCAGTCCACCATTTATCTCACAGGGCCCAGTAAAGAGCAAATGAAATATAGTAACATTCTCACCTCCATCATTAGGTTCTAACACATTTTAATAACTTTTCCTCTTCTCTCATATACCTGAATATTGCCAAATGGACAAAAGATCATGCTAGTAATAGACTTTCATGCTAAAATTTTACCCTCTTACCTAGTTTTTAACATGCTCTGGTGGCTCAGTGCCTAAGGCATGTGACTGCTAACCAGAAAGTTGGCAGTTCAAACCCACTAGTCACTCCACGGCAGGCAATCTACTTCTGTAAAGATTTACCGCTTCACAAACCCAAAGGGGGTCACTATGAGTTGGAATCGACTCAATGGCAGTGAGCTTTTTTGTTTGTTTTTGTTTTACCTAGTTTTTAACATGTCATATTAATATAAGTGGCTCTGTTTGAATTTAAGAAAAGATATAACTCACAATGTATTTGGGGAGCTCTGGTGGCATAGTGCCTAAGGCACTTGACTGCTAACCAGAAGGCTGGCGGTTCAAACCCACCAGCCAGTCCTCAGAAGGAAGATGGGGCAATCTACTTCTGTAGTGATACTGCCTCAGAAACCCAAGGAGGGGTCACTATGAGTCAGGTCTGACTTGACGGCACAAAACAACAACAACAACAACAACAACAACGGTGGCATAGTGCCTAAAGGCATTTGACTGCTAACCAGAAGGCTCTGGCAGTTCAAATCCACCAGCCACTCCTCGGAAGGAAGACTACTTCCATAAGAGATACTGCCTTGGAAATCCAAGGAAGGGTCGCTATGAGTGGGGACCGAATCGACGGCAGTGAGTTCGGTTTTTTTGGTAACATTGTTATCCATATCTATGAGTCCTAGAAAGTGAAAGCCTTTTTACAAAGCTTTGGTTCTGCTGAACTGAAAATAAACTTACCACTTTTTACTCAGATCAGGTATTAGCAACAATATAGGTTATTTTGGAAAGTAAAGTAGGGACTGGCTTCCTTTGCCTTATCATCTCTGGGACATAAAGGTCAAAGTACAATTTTTGGACCTCAATCTTTATAGTATTAAGAAATAATAACTCCTTAAGTTTTTTTTTCCATATATGGATTGTCAAGACATGAACTCAATAAAAGCTAAATCTTAAAGCATAGATTATAAGCACATCTTTTATTGAATCATTTATTATTGTTTCTAAATAAATTTTCAGTAAGGTAACTTCTCTGGTTCTTCCTTATGGAGCTTAACATAATTTCAAGAGAAGTGTCATTCTTATATCTAAAATTGCATCTAAAGAAATGAAGAAACTCAAGACATAAAATCACCTCAGGCAGGAAGAAAATCAGTAACATCCAATTAATTTAGGATTTATTGCTTCTGTTAAGATTCTGAGAGGATGTAAAGTGTTTTATAATCAAAACTAATGGGAATTAAAAGAGAACAGTGCATGAGGATCACAGTGGAGCACCATTCACAGTTCTGAAAACATTTTCAAAGGTTGATCCATAACAAGCCTTTGAGGAGGCAGGGCAGGATATCATCAGGCCACCACAGTGGAGGAAAAGGGAAGCTCCCAGATCTTGAGGGACCTGGACAGCTCTTCTGACTACAACTCTTCACACTCTCTATCAAAATAAGCAGTGCCACTAACTAATCCAAAATGTTCACGGGAGGAAAAGTTGAAGAAATGAAAAAGAATAAAATGTAACATTTAAGAAAGTTAAATCATACTAGCAAAAGGAAAGAGCTAAACCATCAGAAAAAAGAAAACGAGTTTAGTGATTCAAGTGGCAATGAGGTGAAGAGCAGAGGTGCAGCGTCCTTAAAAGGGTACCGCACAATGTGAACTGTAGCTCCCAAGAGAAGAAGTATCTCCATGAGCCCTCTAACAGGATGGTAGGCTAACTGCAACCCTGAGCTCTCCTAGCATCCTGCATATATCTCTATGTTAGCATTTTATCATTCGTTTGAAAATGTCCACTGAAAATTGAAAACTCATCTAGAATGGAGACCACTCTTACTAATAATCTTTGCACATAACACAGTATTTGATCCTATCATGTGCTTAATAAAACGTTTTCTGATCTGAACTTCAACCATATTTCATATTGTTTCTGCACATAAATAACATTTTGAGTACAGATCCTCAACGAACACTTAATGACTAGATATGGCTTTCCATTCTCAACACTATTAACCAGCTGAGCAACCCTAGACTGATAAATCATAAGTTTTCTGTGACTTATTTTATTCATCTAGAAAATGGTGTTGAAATAGGTTTCTCCAATACTCTTTTCAGCACTAAACATCTTCCATGTTAGAAACCAGGGATCATAGATGGAATCATCAGCCCACAAAGTCTTTGAAACTTGGTGGAAATGAACACTTAGCTTGGCACTACCCTAGAGATGAGAAGCGACGGTTACTGGCAAGCTGAAATTTTGAAGACCAGAATGAGAAAAAAGGATGACTGAAAAGGGCAGAGAGAAAAAGAGTTAAGGCCAAGGATAGCTAGAATCACCTTGATGTGTCATAGCCCAGGGATAAAGGGAAAGACAACTCAATGAAATAATAGTAACTGCTCGTCCCCTTCCCGGTGGATGCTAATAGCATAAGTCCCTCTCCCCGTTTCTTCCTAATCCTGGACTTGTCCTATAAGGAGACCAAGATGCTATGAAAATGAAGGATGCCTCACAGGCGACAGGTGTCCCGGTGTCCCAGGACAGAAGCTGGCCGGAGGGAAGACTGTCGTAGGGGAAGTACACACTCGTCACCGGCCAGCTGTGCCCACGAAGTCAGTACGGCTCAGATACTCGGAAATGCTCCCTCATCCGCAGCGGGTGGGTCCCAGGGACACGGGTGGGAGGCCGACAGGGTGGTAGCACAGGGCCTGGTAACCAACAGCGACAGAAGAGAGTAAGTCGGGCCTTTCCATCTGCGGCTAAAGATCTCAGTAAAAGGCCTCCAAGCCTGGGCTTGTTTTGGGCGCGACGTCACTTCCGAGTTCTTTCCCCTTCTCGCAAAAAGACGTTCCGCATCTTCGTAGCTGGGCGAACTTCCAGTTCGCGTTACATACTGCCTGAGTACTAGAAAGGCGAGGTCATTTCAGGTGACCGCTCCAGATCACTAAAAGACGATCCAACTCTCATCCCGTTGCTACACCTCCTTCTTCCCATCGCTCCGCCCACCTGACCGCCTTGAGTCATCTGGGCTGCGCGTCTTGTGAGCCTGAGCCTTTACGTCATTTTCACGCGACGAATCTGCCTTTTCCGTACGCGGTGTGTCATGGCGGCTCCTTAGAGGGTCGGCGTGAGTGAGCCAGAGCGGTCCAGAGGAGATCCCAGCTGAGGTAGGTGAAGGAAGTTTCCATCCGTCCTTCCTGTGGTATCTGTCATTCTGTTTTGGGGTTTCTCAATTTCCAAAAGTTTAATGGTTAAACTCCTTAACCGAGCTCTCGAAACTCCCGAAATTTAACTTGACCCGGATTTTTCTTTTCTACTATCATAATTCTGCTACTGTCCACTGTATTTTGCAGCTTTCTAAATCAACTGACAAATTTACACTTATGCCTTTGCTTACGAGACGCCCTCAGTTTCAAATGGCTGCCCCCTTGCATCCCCACTTCCCCAGACCACCCCTTCCGGTTTTGCGCCATTTTCAGTGGTGCATCTGTTCTAACGTCCTTCTAGGCTCGTCTGAAATGGTATGGGGGTCTTTGAATTTTTCCGGGAGCCTCCCAGTTAGAATTAAAAATCTTCCTTATCGAATTCTCAGTACCCTGTACGTAAAAAAAAAAAAACAAACCCAAACTCAACAGCATTTATTTTCTAGTCTACATTTATTGTAGTAAACTATGCAGGTAATTCCCAGTTTCTCAAGCTCTTTCCTCTCCCCCATCATTTTTTCTTACTCATTTTCATATAATTTCCTGTCTCCATGCAATTGCAGTGTCACTACTCCTTCCCACCCCATGTTACTCATTTTAATCTGGCAAGTTGCTACTCCTCACTTCTTCACTCTGAAGCATTAAATTGTTCTGTCAGGCAGTTAGCTACTCTTTCACCTTAATACTGATATAATTAGGGCCAAATAAGTCTTAGGGGCCAAATCTGACACACTACTTATTTTTTTATTGCCAGGGAGCCAAGAATGTTTTTACAAATGAACATTTGCTGTTTCCTGATAGAAAACACATTTTTTTTTTAAACCCCAATTAAGCAAAATGTTGTCTACCCTAGAAGAATTCTGTTCTTCTCATTTGTAAACAAAAGATTGTATTTAATATACTTAATTTTTCCATCAATTAAAAACTTGGAGAAATTTCTTTCTTGTTATATGAATACCTACATAACATTCTCTCTTTTGCCTTTTGGCCCATAAAGTGTAAATATTTACGATCCAGCCTTTGCAGAAAGTTTTTTGATGCCTATGCTGTAGGATTGTTCACGTTATAGACACTACTTGTGGCTTTGCTATTTTTCTATAAAACCCAACACAATGGTTTCTTTCTTTTCCACGTTCTTAGAGCACTTTTTATTTTCCTGATGTGAGATAACTCAGTTATGGGGCAAAGAATTTAAAGAGATCGTTACAATACAGTGTGATCATGTGCATTGATGGAGTTATGCAGAGTCACGTAGGACCATAGAAAATTGGCCTCTAACCTAGCTTAGGGGGTCAGAGAAGTTTCCTGGAGGACATGAGCCCTATGTTGAGCCTTAAATAAATAGGAAGTAAGTAGAGAGAGGTCATTCCTGGCAGAGAGGACAAATGAGCAAAGACATTGAGGCAAGGAAGAGCAGGTGTGTTACCCACCACAGCCACTGAGTGGATTCCTACTCGTAATGACCCTATAAGACAAAGTAGAAGTGCCCCATAGGGTTTCCAAGGCCATAAATTTTTACAGAAACAAGCTGCCACAGCTTTCTCCCTCAGAGAAGCTGGTCGGTTTGAACCTGGATCTCTTGGTTAGTGGCTGAGCACTTTAACCACTGCACCACTGGAGCTTCTCCTTGGTGTGTTAAGGGAACAGTAAATGACTAGGAAAGACAGAGGTGAGACTGGAAAGGTAGACAGGGCCAGATCTCAGAGCACCTTACATCATATGGTGAGGAACTTGTACTTTATTTTCTGGACAGTTTGGGCTTTGTAGCAAAAGCAGATTTGTATTCCAGTTAGATAACTGGTGGCTATTTGAAAGACGGATGGAAGAGTCAGATATTGGAGTGTGTTTCACTATTTCAGTAAATGAGAAGGCATGAAGTAGGGCAGTGGAAATAGATAAAGAGAGGACATGAAGTTAGAAAGATTTGGAAAATCAATCAGATCTTGTTAACTGCTTGGATATTAGAAATGAGGGGAAAGACAAGCCAAAGCTGATACCAGATTTCTAGCTGGTGCCAGTCAGTCACCAGCTGAAATGGAGAATCCTGGAGTATGCGTTCCATAAATGTTGAAGTTGTATTATTATGTTCTCACATGGTCAATGGATAGCTTTCTGTGGATGCAGCTTCTGCTTTTTGTGCTCCTAGGTAATGTCCAGTGATGTTAAAGGGATGGGATCCCAGGAGTGGAATTGAGAAGCCTGAATTTACATAAAGTCCTGGGATTTCCAGGGCCTTGTAGTTACTGTTTTCTCTGCCTGGAGTGCTTTTCTCTCAGTTCAGTGTACAACCTGCTGATTCCTTTAAGTCTCTGCTCAAATGATACCTTATCAGAGAGAACTTTCCTGACTACTCTATATAAAAGTCTCATTTTCTGCTCCCTTTTTGTTTTAGGACTTCTAGGTATTACATGTTATATAGTTATTTATTCTTCTTATACCCTCCACCCCTACTCCAAGAGTGAAAGCTACATAGAGCCAGGGATTTTGTGAGTTTTTTTTTCTGCTATAGCCTGTTCTATCATAATTCCTGTGCATGGTAAGTGGTAAGCTGGACTTTTTCTTTTGTCCTCTCTTTTTAAAGGTTTTGTAAGCATTGGAAAAAAAAAAGTGTGTGGGGGGAGGAGATACACAGGGGCTACAAAAATTTTGTTATATTAATAAAATCCATACTTTTAACCCCCACATAAAATGACCCCTTGCCTCCTTTGTGAATGTGAAGCCTTGGGCAGATGGTTTCCTCTTAAGTGCTGCACTCCCTCCCCCCAGTGTGATTTATAATTCTTATAAATGGAGGTGGCGTGAGGGATTAATTAGACTTTTGAAGAATTTTCTGAAATTTATTATCTCTCTGGGAGATAGGGGATGTATTATATTTAATTTCCTCATCTTGATTAGAATCCTGCCTTTTTAGGGGTTCCGGCCCTCCTGCATCCCAACCCTTTTAAGCTGTTTTTTATGATGACAGTATAGTAAGAAAGTGAAGGTATTTGGTATCACTTTACCAGTTGAGCTGTGGTAGCATTGTGCCTAAGGCATTTGACTGCTAACCAGAAAGCTGGCAGTTCAAACCCGCCAGCCACTCCTCGGAAGGAAGGTTGGGCAATCTACTTCCGCAGTGATACCACCTCAGAAACTCAAGGCAGGGTCACTATGAGTTGGGTTCGATTTTAAGGCAGTGATTTGGTTTAGTTTTTATCGGTTGAAGATGAAGACATTTTAGAATTTCGATCCATATGCACAAGGGATTGGGTCATTGTGGTTCATAGGAATTTTTGGAAGTAGATTACTAGACCTTTCTTCTTAGTCCGTCTTAGTCTTGGAGGCTCCGCTGAAACATGTTCAGCATCATAGCAACGTGCAATCCTCCACTGATGGACGGTGGCTTTGCTTGAGGTGTGTTGTCTGGGAATTGAACCTGGGTCTCTGTATGGAAGGTGGGAATCCTACCACTGAACCACCACTGCCCCCAAAAGGAATATCAAGATTTGAATTTATATTCAAGAAAAAACTAATTCATTGGTTTTTATAAATCACTTTTTACAGAAGAGTCACTTATGTCTTTTGGAAACGTAAAAGCATATCATGTCACCTATTTTCTTTAAGGAGCTCTGGTAGCATAGTGCCTAAGACACTTGACTGCTAACCAGAAGGCTGGCGGTTCAAACCCACCAGCTACTCCTCGGAAGGAAGGTTGGGCACTCTACTTCCACAGTGATACCACCTCGGAAACCCAAGGAAGGGTCGCTGTGAGTCGGGTCCGACTCGACAGCACATAACAACAACAACAACTTTCTTTAAAATGACTCAGTGGCTTCCTAATGTTAGAATCAAATCTAAACTGCTTGCCCTTATACAAGATTCTCTCTGGTCTGATTGCTATTTCTCCAGCTGAATCTCTGGATTGCCTCTCCTGGGCTCAGTGTGTTTTAGCTGCATTGATTTCCTTTCTGTTCTTGGAACCAGCCAAACCCCTTCCTTGACACCAGGACTTTGTTAGACCCATGTCTCCCCTTGATCTGTGCTTTCTCTCATTCCAGAGAGGCCCAAAGCAGCCTTTGCCAACTCTCATTGCTCTGTTAATTTCCTTAGTAGTATTTATTGCAAAAAAATAAAATTTCCTCTCTTTTAATCATTGATTATTATGTTTCGTCAAAACAGCCTTTAAAATGTGTCACACTGATGGAATTTGCTGTTACTGAGGCATTGTTTTCAGGCCTTTAGGAAGTAGTTCCTAAAATTGAATCTCTTGCAATTGAATGGTTCTGGAAAGATGTTTTGGCTTAATATCATGTTAATTAAAGGTTGAAATTCATTTTTATGTTATTCTCTTTATTTAATTCCAGAATTGGTTTATTCCTGTTTCCTTGCCTGCCTTTTAAATCTTCTAAGTGTCTTAATTTAAGTTTCTACATCTAAACATTAGCTCTTAATTAATTTTATTTTAAGCTTCTGCATTAGGATACTAGCTCTACTTTCTTTCTTGACTCTTTTAGGCTTGCAGAAGGTCAAGTTCCTAGACTTTATTTTTACAGGTTAAATTTCATCTTTAGTTTCAGGACAGTTTTGTAGTTCATTTAAAAGGGGTTTTTTGGGCTTGGTCCAAAGGAAAAAGAAAGTAGTGTGCTATGCCATTGTGCTCTCTCTGTCCTGACTACCAGAAGGTTGAGCTGGATTTATTCCCAGTTCTGTAAACTGGCTGGTCAGGTGTGAGAACATTTGTGTGCAGCCTCTATACAGCTGAGCAGACGGTAGCCTAGCAGCCCTAATCTGTATTCTTCTGGGGTTCTGTAGATTATCTCTTCTGGGTTTTATAGTTAAACAGCTTCTTGGTCACTAATCTGAAAGCTCCCACACAGCCTTTTGAAAGAAGGTAGAGTGAAAAACATAACTGTATGGTTATCAATAACTTGCATATATGAAATATTTTCCTTTTCAGAATTAAGACAGAGCCTCTATAATAATTCTAACCATCAATTCCAAACTATTGACCCTTGGACAACAGTGCAATTAAATGAAATCATGGCTGGTTATAAGCCTGTAGCTATTCAGACATATCCTATACTTGGTGAAAAAATCACCCAAGATACCCTGTACTGGAACAACTATAAGGTAAGTATGGGTGGTACTGGAGGGGCAGAGGATTTGTGTTTATGCCACCTTCTCCATCATATGTTATACTTTGGGTAATCTAATAGAGAACTAATAATTAAAATAAAAAAATCTGTAGGCAATTTATAGTTTAGATGGATAATTTGATATTTTTCTTGCAATTTGCTATAAAAATTCACACTGCTTCATCAGTGTCACCATACAAATGCCTAGCACAAAACATGATCAATCATTGCCAGATTAATTTAATTTTAGAATTTGAATCTCATGCAAGAAGTTTTTTTGTTTTTCCTTTCTTAGTGGTGTGAAATTAATTCTTACAGCCACTTATAAGGCGGGAAATTGGTATGAACTTTCTGCAGGACAATTTCGTAAAAGTTTTCATGATTAAAAAGAAAATGCATATACTTTTTGACCCTAGAGTCCCAGTTTGGAACTTGGTCAATAAATATACTCCCAAATATATGCTAAGATGTATGCATGAAGTTGTTCATTGAAGTATTATTTAGAATACCAGAAATGTTAGAAACCTGTATTCATTAGTATTGAATCTGTAAATTATGGGCTATCCTTATAATGGATGGTAAAGCTGTTGCTCATATGAAGTGAAAAAAAAGCAAGATGAAGAACAACATCCCTGGTATGATCTTTGTGTCTGTTAAAAAATATGGATAAATATATGCTGGTATTGGCATAATTTCCCCTCCCCCCATCAGAGAAAACTCAATAGCTTGAAGTGAAAGAGAGGAATGTAGCTTTCTATTTACTTTTTATTTACTTTAATGGCAACAAGGATAGGCTAGGTGATGGGATTATAGGCCTTTTCCTTTTCTTCATACTTCTATGTTAAATTCTAGTAAAAGTTGCAATATCATTAATATCACACACAAGAAAAATCTTGCTGAAGATAATTAAAAAACGATTGCAGCAGTATATTGACAGAGAACTTCCACAAATGAAAGCTGGATTCAGAAGAGGATGTGGAATGAGGGATATCACTGCTGATGTCAGATGGATCTTAGCTGAAAGCAAAGAATACCCTAGAGATATTTACTTGTGTTTTATTGACTATGCAAAAGTATTCGACTGTGTGGATAACATACTATGGATAACGTTGAAAAGTATGGGAACTCCACAACACTTAATTGTGCTCATGAGGAACGTGTACATAGACCAGGAGGCTGTCATTTGAACAGAGAAAGGAGATACTGCATGGTTTAAAATCAGTAAGGGAGTACATCAGGGTTGTATCCTTTCACCATACTTATTCAGTCTATAACTCATTTCCGTCAAGTTGCATCTGACTCATAGTGATCCCTACTTGGGTTTCTGAGGCAGTATCATTACGGAAGTAGAATGCCCAACCTTCCTTCCGAGGAGTGGCTATATGCTGAGCAAATAATCCAAGAAGCTGGACTATATGAAGAAGAATGTGGCATCAGGATTGGAGGAAGACTCATTAACAACCTGCAAAGCAGATAACACAACTTTCCTTGCTGAAAGTGAGGATGACTTGGAGTACTTACTGATGAAGATTGAAGACTACAGTCTGCAATATGGGTTACACCTCAACATACAGAAAATGAAAATCCTCACAACTGGCTCAATAAACAACTTCACAATGCATGGAGAAAAGACTGAAGTTATCAAAGATTTCATATTACTTGGTTCCATAATCAACACTACTGGAAGCAGCAATCAAGAAATTAGGCGACATACTGCTCTGGGCAAGTCTTCTGCAAAAGATCTCTTTAAAGTGCTGAAGAGCAAAGATACCTCTTTGAAGACTCATGTGCACCTAACCCAAGCCATGGTATTTTCAGTTGCCTCATATGCATGTGAAAGCTGGATAATGAATAAGGAAGACCGAAGAAGAGTTAATGCTTTTGCATTGTGGTGTCGCCAAAGAATACTGAAAATACCTTGGACTGCCAGAAGAACAAACAAATTTGTCCTGGAAGAAGTGCAGCCTGAATGCTTCTTGTAAATGAGAGTGTCCAGACTTTGTGTCATCTACTCTGGTCATGTTGTCAGAAAGGGCCATTCTCTGGAGAAGGATATCATGCTGGGTAAAGTGGAGGGTCAACGAAATAGGAGAAGGCCCTCCATGAGATGATTGACAGAGTGGCTGCAACAATGGGCTCAGGTATAGCAAGGATTGTGAGGCTGGCACAGGACCGGGCAGTATTTCGTTTTGTTGTACACAGGGTAACTATGAGTTGGAGCTGACTTGACTGCATCTAACAACAACAATAAAAGTTACAAAGAAGAAAAAGAAATGGTCTATAATAGATTAGATAGTGCTTAAGTTCATCTTGCCATTGTAATTGTTAATACTATGTTTTATTTTTTATTAAGACCCCTGTTCAGATTAAGGAGTTTGGTGCAGTGTCAAAAGTAGACTTTTCTCCACAGCCTCCATATAATTATGCTGTCACAGCTTCCTCAAGGGTAAGTATTACATGAAATTTCTTTATTTTTCTTTTGTATAATTTAGATTTACTACTAATCTTCAGCCATCTGATGAAATGTTATGTTTTGTAATTCTGTGCTTTTTATCTTGTGATAGATTCATATTTATGGCCGATACTCCCAAGAACCTATAAAAACTTTTTCCCGATTTAAGGACACAGCGTACTGTGCTACCTTTCGACAGGATGGTAAACTGCTTGTGGCAGGCAGTGAAGATGGTGGAGTTCAACTTTTTGATATAAGTGGGAGGGCTCCCCTCAGACAGTTTGAAGGCCATACAAAGTAAGAGAACTGACTTTTCTGTCAATTCTGTTCCTTTTTTTTTTTTTTCTTAAGATCTATTTTTTCTCTGCACTTTGAATAAAACCAGAGGGCAATTCTATGAAAGTTATGTACCTGTAAGTACTTGATTTTCTAGTTCATCTAAGACAAGATGCTTAACCTGGGTCCTAGGGTCCAGTTTCACGGGGCTCATGAATTCCCTAGAATTGCATGTAACATTTTAGGAAGTATCAGTTTATCAAAGGAGACTTCTTATAGCTTTCATGAACTCTTCAGCTGTCATCTAGTTGAGGTTATGAGCAGATCTAAAGACAGGCTCACAGCTGTTAATGAACTCTGCAGCTTGGACTATCTTAGAAAACCAAACCAAACCCAGTGCCATTGAGTCGATTCCAACTCATAGCAACCTCCGTTGGGTTTCTGAGGCAGTAAATCTTTACAGAAGTAGATTGCCCAGTCTTGCTTCTGCAGAGTGGCTGGTGGGTTTGAACCACCAACCTTCTGGTGAGCAGTCAGATGCCTTAGTCACTATGCTACCAGAGCTCCTTTGGACTGTGTTACAGGTTTTCTTTTGAAATCAAATTGGAAGGGAATTTCTTTTCTTCTTGCATGTGCAGTTTTTGCCTGTTAATGTACTGAGTGACCAGGGCAATTTTATTTTATAACTTTGTTTTCAAGATTACCAATGTCTTTGCTGAAATTTGCTATTAATTCAAAATCTCAAGTGTTTTATAGAGTGTGATATAAGGATGGTCTTACCCTATCAGTGAAATATTTAAAATGTAACAGATTCAATGAGCATGATCATACTTAGTGACATACCTTTTTAGAATTTATTTTTGTAAAGGCTTCCCTTTGTGAAATTTGCTCTAGCATTTAGAACATTCATTTTCATTAAGCAGCTAAGTGAAATTGCTAAATATTAGAAAAATATAATTGGAAGGCCACTGCTTAATATTCTTACTATTCTTATAAGAAGGAATATTTAAAATTTTTAATTGGCTTAGGGCTAAATACCTATTTTAAAGATTTTCTTTTTCTTTCATGATTTTTACCTATAATTATTCCCTGAAACTGAGCTGCTTTTGTGTGTGTGTGTTACTTGGGAAAAGGAGTATTTTGTTTATGTTAGAAGGTGCCAGAAATACTTTTTTTGGTGTTTTATATACTGATCCTTGATCTTTCAGAGCAGTTCATACAGTGGATTTTACAGCTGACAAATACCATGTGGTTTCTGGGGCCGATGATTATACTGTGAAGCTATGGGATATCCCAAACTCCAAAGCAATTCTCACGTTTAAGGAACATTCTGATTATGTGAGGTGTGGATGTGCTAGCAAACTGAATCCAGATCTCTTCGTAACAGGTTAATGAACTCTTTACAACTCCTGACATAGATAGTCTTACTATGATATACTTTAATGTTGCTTTGAGACTTTTGGGATTGAGTAGTGTAAACAAATTTTATAAAGGAGTATGTTCTTGTTCGGGAGCTCTGGTAGCATAGTGCCTTAGGCACTTGACTGCTAACCAGAAGGCTGGCGGTTCAAAGGCACCAGCCACTCCTCGGAAGTTGGACAATCTACTTCCGTAGTGATATTGCCTCAGAAACCCAAGGAGGGGTCAACGGCACATAACGGCAACAACAATATTCTTGTTCATTTATCCAGCTGTTTTGTTTTCTTTTTCTTCTTTTGATGGTTGTTGCTATTGTCCTCCTAATGTGTTTGGAAATATCAGACCTCCTTGATGTCAGAATTATAATGGGTTTAGACCTTGCTTTCCACAGAGCCTCCAGCAACGAAGAAAAAAGCAAGTACTATTCAGTCTTTGGTTCCTATGCAAGGATTCCCAGATCATTTGGTTGTGGGCAGTAGTATGAATATAGAAATAATTTAGGATCAGGGCAAATTACATTTTGTTTAGTATAGTATAGTGCTGCTTCAAAAACAATTAGTATAGCAGAGGGTTTGCAGATACTGTGTTTTCATGAAATGTGTATATGTCTTTAAAAATTTTATTTAAGGCTTTTGTCCTAAAATTTGTATCTATATCTATAGTTTTTAAATGGTGAAACTCACATCATATAAAAATTGACATACTAGGGTCATACGATCACACTGTGAAGATGTTTGATACACGAACAAATGAGAGTGTTATCTCTGTGGAGCACGGGCAGCCAGTGGAGAGTGTCTTGCTTTTTCCCTCTGGAGGTCTTCTCGTGTCAGCAGGTATTGTTCTTAAAATTCTTTTCACTAGTATTGTTGATGTTGAATCAGATATTTCTATATTAGTTAGGTGCTTTGTACATTTGGATTGCAGATCTAACTTGCTCAGTCAATTGTTGAGCATCTAACGTGAGCTGGACACTTCTATTATATGAATGTTATCTCTAATGCCCCACATAATTCTACATACTTTCCTCCCTATTTTATAGCTAAGGAAGTAAATAAAAGTTATAACTAATTATTCCAAGGCAAAGCTGGTAACTGGCAGATCTAAAATCCCAGAACTTGAAAACTTATATTTGTTATTTAAATCAACCCTATGCTGTCTTGTTGGACCCTAGAAATCTAAGTCTTATTTCTCTGTTATTCTCATCTAAGAGATCTGTGGAAACTTTGAAAAATATAGACTATGTCACATCTAAAATGAAGCTTGTCTTTTAATGGGACTCTCTTGATTGAAATGGGAGCTCTGGTAGCGTAGTGCCTAAGGCACTTGACTGCTAATCAGAAGGCTGGCAGTTCAAACCCACCAGCCACTCAGAAGGAAGATGGGGCAATCTACTTCCGTAGTGATACTGCCTCGGAAACCCAAAGAGGGGTCGCTATGAGTCGGGTACAACTCGACAGTACATAACAACAACAACAACGTGATTGAAATGGCCTTCCCCAGCATATAGCTAATTCTGCTAGAGAAAGATTATGTGGAGTCAATAGGAGCCTTGATGCATTTTTTATAACAGTGAAGCAGTTTTTTTTTTTTTTTTTTTGGTCATAGTGGCCTGGTGCATTTTCATAATTTTACTGGAAGAAATAAATGGCTTTCTAATTTGTCAGTAATGCCAAGATTAATGCATTGACCTTTGAAGAATTTGTAGGTAGTGAGTCAAAACTGACTCAATGAGTGTGGGTTTGGGTTTGGTTTTTTTAAATGTGATAAAGGAGCTCTGGTAGCACAGTGGTTAAAACATTCACCAGCTAACCAAAAAGTCAATGGTTTAAACCCACCAGCCACTCCACAGGGAAAGATGAGGCAATTCACTTCCATAAAGATTTACAGCCTTGGAAACTCTGTCAAGTAGTTAAACTCTGTCCTATAGGGTCACTATGAGTCAGAATCAACTTAATGGCTGTTGGTTATGTATACTTGATAGCATATATATAAATGTGTAGATACACCCTTTTTAAAATTTAAGCCCATTTCTAAGATCTAAGTAGAAGTTATCCTGTTTTATACTCTTTTCCTAGTACTTCTTTGATTTAAAAATAAGTTGATAACCCTGTCAGACATATATCCATTTTGACAAAAGGACTGTGATCAAGTTGAATAGGGAGAGTAGAAACCTGTAGGCTGACCTCCAGTATGCTACTTGCTAAACTGGGCAATCCCTTAATTTCTCTAGATACTGAAAATGAGAGGTTGGAGTAGATCTGTGGTTTCATGCTCTGATCACTCTTATGAGCTCCCACATGTGAGGGAATTGAGGTCCACACCCTATTCCTCAGCCAGGATAGATCTGCAACTTGAGTAAGAACAAACTTGGCTTTTCCCTCCACCCCTTTATCTGTTTTACTTACTAGGCTTTTGTTTAAGATTTTATTGAAAGAAAAGATGCCGTGTTAAAAACTTTTTTAAACTATCGGATTAAATTACTTCTGAGAATCCTTCCAACTCTTGAATTAAGTTGTAGGGAAGTTTTTCCAGTTTTGTTGGGACTCAAAATTTTTAGGAAATAAAATCTTCTTTATTCATTTTCATGGTTATATAAAAATTCCTTTTAAATAAGGATTTTATTATAACTTTCTTAAAATATCTTTGGTTATACTTTTTATTTTGCTAGGCACGTCTATGTACTTTACAAATAGGAAATTATTTCATCATCCTAACAGTCCTGTGAGATAGACGCTGTTATTATCAGTCACACACCTACTGAGTAATAGCGCCAGGATTTGAACCAGGTGGTCTGGCTATGGATTCCCTCATTTACCAACTCCACGCTATGGAGAGTCTAGGGAAGAATGCTTTTCAGCATTTCATTAAAAATTTTGAATTGATAGGCAGAAGATTGTCAAACTAATGATTGCTTCTTCTTATAGGAGGTCGTTACGTTAAAGTATGGGACATGTTGAAAGGAGGACAGTTGCTAGTATCTCTGAAAAATCATCACAAAACTGTGACGTGTTTATATTTGAGCAGTTCTGGACAGAGGTTACTCTCTGGCTCACTGGATAGGTCAGTATTTTAATTTTCTCTGTTCATCATTATTAGTATACAAGTGTTTACTATTTGAGGAAATAACTTATCACCAGTGTTTTGTGATAACACAAATGATCTGGTAAATGATTTCCATGAAAAAAAAAAAAAATCTGTTGAGTTGAAAAAAAGTTTTGAGCTTTTATTTGCTTATAGCCAACTTATTTTCTCCCTTGACAATTTATTGCTTAAACTTACATAGTTAAGCAATTTTATTAAACCATGTGGGCATTAATCTCTTAAAACAATTTATATTACTCTGTAGTTTCTTTTAAAATTTAAAAATATGAATTGTACTTTTTTTTGCTTTTAAAATATTTTATTGATATACATTCATATATTTTGAAGTATTTGTAATGAGTGTATGTATAACTCTAACTTATATTCTTTAAAATTGTAAACATTATGTGAAAGTATCTACACATTAATGTGGTCCAGACATTTTTGTTTTAATAGGTATTTAAAATGCCATTAGTTAATGTTCTGTAACAGTGCTGTCTAGTAGAAATATAATACATAGTAATTTTATATGTTTCAGTAGCCACATTTAAGTAAAAAGAACTAGGTCAGATTTATTTTAATAGCTTATCTTATTTAACCCAGTGTATCAAAATGTTACCATTTCAACATGCAATCAGTGTAAAAATAATTAACAAGATACTAGAAACAAGCATCTACTACCTTCATGATAATACAAAAATATTTTACAATGATTAAAGTGACATAAATCCTACCAAAACAATAAAGCTGTGTTTAAACAGAACAGTATTTTATGCTGCCTCAGTTTGTAAATTTAAATTAAGTAAAATAAAAATCTTAATTCCTCATTTTCATTAGCTGCATGCAGCTGATGGATACCACATTGTACAGCACAGTTCTAGAATGTACTTACATTCATCTATTATTGGACACCTTATTTCCTATTTCCTTTTTTTTTTTTTTTAACTATTATGAGATGCCTTAGTTTTCAACATGCTTTTTCGTATATTTTAAAAGCTTGTTGTTGTTGTTGTTGTTATGTGCCGTCGAGTCGGCCCCAACTCATAGCAACCCCTCCTTGGGTTTCCGAGGTGGTATCACTACGGAAGTAGATTGCCCAGCCTGCCTTCTGAGGAGTGGTATTTTAAAAGCTAGAAAATATTTTTAATGCAAAAGAAATCATTATGTAAATATAAGGCAAATTCTCTGAAATAGTATTATTAGGCAGTTGAGGATTTGATTTCTAGATGTGTGCCTGAAAGTTAAGTGTAAGTTGTCTCTCTTTGTAGTGGTTCTTAACCTGGGTGAATTGGTCCTCGAGGGGACCTTTGGCAATATCTAGACACATTTTTTGGTTGTCACAGCTTGGAAAACGGGTACTTTTGGCAGCTAACGGATAGGGGCCAAAGATGCTGCTAACAATCCGACAGTGAACAAACCACCACAACAAAGAATCACCTAGCCTAAAATGTCAGTAGTGCCAAGGTTTAGAAACCCTGCCATTTTGACTTCTGGTGTACTTTTACTGATACTTTTTCTTTACTTGCAAATTTTATCTTCAGATGACAACTCATTGTCTGTCCTGTTTATTTTACAATTGGTTAGTTTGAGAGTTTTTATATGAACATTATAGCTAGTGCTGATACACAGTTGCTGCTTTAAGAGATTCAGTTTGTAACTAACATTAGTAATTATTATTAACTGTTGTGTAAATTTTGATACTCATCTGTTACTTTTGCAAAAAATAGAAACTTTGTATTTTATACTCATTTCCAAGATAGTTTGTGACAAAGCTTTCTTTTTTATTAGAAAGGTGAAAATATATAGCACGGCTTCCTACAAAGTAGTCCACAGTTTTGATTATGCAGCTTCAATTTTGAGTCTTGCACTTGCAGTAAGTACTTTCAGCTCTCCTTAAAGTTTCCCTAAGGTTGCTAAAGCTAAAATGGAATTTTAGGGTTTATCTTTTAGATTTATTATTATTATTACTTACTGTGATTTGGGTAAAAGTTTACAGAGCAAATTCATTTTCCATACAGTTCATACATTTTGTTTGATGACATTGATTACAATCCCCATAATGTGGTCGCTCTCTTCCTGTTTCTTCCCTGTGGTTACCTTTGTCCTGCGTCCTTTCCTATGCATCCTGCCCACTGAGCTATCTCCCTGTGTGAATACTGCCCTTCTGATCACTCATGGCTGATTGTTCTAAGGAATGCACCTACCTGGTATAAATGTTCATCTTCTATGCCTATTATTTCACTGGAAGCTATAGGACTGAGTTCAATTCCAGGCCCCAGAGGTGACTAGGGGTACCTTTTTGGTTTTAATAAGTATTATTTTCTTTTTACCACATTGGGTGTTTTCATTAATATGCTTCTTAGGATAAGTGACTCATCCTAATAATTTAGCATGAATTCAGGTTTAGGTCCCACTCACTGTATGACTTCCAGCTAAATACAGTATTAACACTAAATTCAAGGTCTTAGACATCACTCTAAAAGACGTTTTATTGAGGGTATTATAATACTTCAGAAAGTCAAATTGGCTCTCCAAGGGAAAAAAAAAAAAAATTGGAAACAGAGGGCCACAAAATGAAATACCTTTTTTTGGTTGACTGTTTTTTCTGGAATATTTGCTTTCAAGTTTCATGAGGAGCCATATTTGGGGAGGAGGGCATAAGAGGATACAGGAAAATACTATTTTGAAACTTTCCCAAGGTACCGTTATCTGTGTATTTGTTGTTATACAAACTTCACCGCTGATAATTTTATATCAAATGTAAGTTTAGTCAACATCATGGTATCTAGTGACAAAGTTACTTTGCTTTAACTTTTTGTCATAGATCATTGTTAGGCAGGGTATAGATTTCTGAAAGGAGCTGTTGGTGAAAGTATGCATTAGCTGTAAACATTGTAAATGATGTTAAGAGAAAAAGCAGTAGAAGTTACGAGTTAAGAATAGAATAACTTATTTTTCTAATTGCTCTTAGCATGAAGATGAGACGATAGTTGTGGGAATGACCAATGGAATACTGAGTGTTAAACATCGGAAATCTGAAGCAAAGAAGGATGCTTCTTCCAGGAAACGAAGACCTGCATACCGAACCTTTATTAAAGGAAAAAATTACACGAAGCAACGGGTATATGTGTATTTCTCATATTTTTTTAAAAGGTGAAATTTGTTGGAGTAGCTAACTCCATTTTTTAACATTACTGAAAAGTAGTTCAAATGGCATTTAACTGAACTTTATTTTTGTTTTCCTCTATCTCAGATTTATCTCTGGATTGCTAGATGGGGAGCATTATTAGCAAGTAGTGGTTAACAGGCTCTTTATTTAATAACCTGAATCATGATATAATGTTATAATGCCTAAGCATATTCATAGCGATGTCTTTCACACATGATCTGATTTGATCTTCTAAACAGCCTGAAAAGTAGTATAGCCAGAATTGCCCCCATTGGGCATTTGAGAAGATTGAGACATATCCAGGATTGCATTACTGGTAACTAGTTGTTGGGACTAGATTGCATTATTTTTAGTTCTGGTTTTACTAGGTCACACTGCCCACCATGTAAAGAGAAAGTGAAGAATGTGTGCCCAGAATTTTAATCTACGTTGTGGGCATAAGAATGTTATGTATGATATAGTTCAGGGTACCCTGATGTTTTAAAAAATATCATTATGAAAATGTTAATATTGAATGGAACTTTATACAGATTTCTTTTTTTTTCCTCCTCTATAAATTTGTTTTTCAATGTAGGATGACATTTCGATCACTAGGCCATCAAAAAAGCACCTGGAATTATATGACAGGGATCTAAAAAATTTTCGGATCTCTAAGGCACTTGACAGAGTCCTTGAGGTGAGTGAGGAGTATATTTTTAAAAAGACGTGTTTTATTACTTGCCTTATGCAATAACTGTGAAGATAAAAACCTGCTCAAACTTTCACATTTAGTAATTGTTAGTGACTTCCAAGGCTGATTGTTTTTCTTGTGCTGTCTTGTTTGCTCATGTTGAGGTTGGTTTTTTTTTGAAAAATTTTATAGCCTGAGATTACAATAAAGACACCTGAGATTACAGTCTCCATCATAAAGGAGTTAAATCGAAGAGGAGTCCTTGCAAATGCTCTTGCAGGCCGAGATGAGAAAGAACTCAGTCGTATTCTTAATTTTTTGATAAGGTATGTTTTACATTCCATGAATCACTTGGGTTTTACATCTGAAATCCTTTATTAGCAAATAAGAAACATTCACTTTTTAGTTTGATTTTTGCAGAGAGCTGGTGGAATAGATTAAATAAATCTATTTTGAGGATTTCAAAAGCATTTGCTAGTTTCAATAAACAGAATTTTTTCTTTGTAGGAATCTTTCTCAGCCAAGATTTGCTCCTGTTTTGATAAATGTTGCTGAAATAATTATTGGTAAGTAGTTAAAACTTGGGAGCTCTGGTAGCATAGTGCCTAAGGCACTTGACTGCTAACCAGAAGGCTGGCGGTTCAAGCCTACCAGCCACTCCTCGGAAGGAAAATGGGGCAATCTACTTACGGAGTGATACTGCCTCAGAAACCCAAGGAGGGATCGCTATGAGTCGGGTCCGACTCGACGGCACATAACAACAGTTAAAACTTGAAAATACTAACATGTTTGTAAAAGTAGAGACTAAAATAGTGTAATCAATGACAACAATAAACATAGGCAGTTTAAAATGCAGTAAAATAGTTGCAGTGGCACTTTGAATTGATATGACTAGGGATTTACATATTTAAACCTTTTTTTTTTAATTGTGATTTGGGTGAAGATTTACAGAGCAAAGTCACTTTCCATACAGCAGTATATGTGAACACAGTTTACCACAATGCAACAGCTCCCCTCCCACTTCCTCCCCATAGTTACCTCTTCCCAATGTCCATCCCTCCATACACTCCTGCCCCCTGAGCTGTCTCCCTGTGCATAAGCAGCCCTTCTTTCTCCCATGATTGTTCTCTCCAAGGCGTGTATCTGCTTGATGTAAATGTTTAACTCACATGCCTGTGTTTTGCATGTTTAAACATTTTTAAACATTCATAATGACATGACTATTTTTTAATAAGAAAATTAAAATATCTCCAAATCTGTACTTTCTGTAAGTACTTTTCTGAAATATTCATATGGATTATTGTACTTTCATGTAAGTTGTAAATTGATTGTAAAACAAGCACTTTTCAATGTCTTTATAATTGTATGCTTTTTCTAAATAATACTTTTCCCTTATTGTATAGAAAGATATTTTTAGTTAATGTATTTTCTCTCTTTCTAGATATCTATCTGCCTGTGATTGGTCAGTCACCTGTAGTGGATAAAAAGTTTTTGTTACTTCAGGGACTTGTAGAAAAAGAGATTGATTACCAAAGGGAACTGTTAGAAACGTTGGGGATGATGGAAATGCTATTTGCTACGACAACAACGAAAGAAAGCACTTTTCTGTTGGAACATAAATCTGATGGACTTCTAGGAAAGAAGATAGAATCATAGTGCATGTTGAATGCAATAAGAACTAACTTGGACTATGTTTAACTCTATTAACTATGGAAAAGAGACTCCTTTTGATACATTTTTAAAAAAAAGCTATTTACAGAAGCAGTTTTATGGAAGATACTGGAATGATTATGATTAGGAAATTAGTACTGTTTTACGACATGATGTTCCATGTAATGTTTTGTATTATTTTGTAATAACTTCAGGTAGAAGATTTCAGTTGTTTTGCTCACCATTATGTTCACCTTGGATGAGTCGATAATTTTAATACAGTAAAATTTATATAGAAATTTGGTAAGCATTCAGATGGGAGTTCAAATAAGAACCCTTTCTGGAGAGGGCTTCAACTGGGAATTCTGCCAAAGGAGTAGGGCTCTTTTTTTTTTTTTTTTTTTTACTTCTGTCCTGGAAAAAACAAACAGCAACAACATAAATCCTTATTCACTCTTATCAGTGCCATTGGGATTTTCAGGCCCCTAAGGTTGGGCAATCTACTTCCCTACTTCCGTAGTGATACTGCCTCAGAAACCCAAGAAGGGGTTGCTATGAGTCGGACCTGACTCCACAGCAGTGGGTTTGGTTTAGTTTGGTACTGAGCTTATGTCTCCTCCCATCTCCTGCTGTCATAACTTACCCTAGGTCACATACTGTGTTTGAGCCGGTCATAGAGCTATATCCTTTTCCAAGTGTGGCATATCAGTGGCCAGCTCTGAATGATTGACACTAGCTGGTCCTGTCAGACAGTGTGATGAGGCAGGATTGATAACTTAAAAATTGTGCTTTCTATCCCAGGTGTTTTTTGTTTGTTTTAATGTCCTGAACCTTCACTCTCATTGTTCTATAGACTTACTGGACCACTTCCTTTTCTTCCCCTAAACATACTTCATTTCTGTCAGGTTTTCAGGCCAGGGGAATGAAAAAAAATGACATATCTTTTATAATACAGTGCAACCTGTAAGAGCCAGAATTTAGGGGAACTGCTTTGTTTCTCTGGGTCGCACAAGACTTCCACTTTCAAAAGGGTGCAGTCTTACCACTTTTCTACATTTTAGTGGAAAATATTTGAGGTTTCCTTCTCTGACAGGGTTCTGCCTTACACAGGTCCCAGCTTTCACAGGTTGTTCTGTAATTAGCCCTTTGTACGTATGCTTGGAGCTTATCTTGTAGCTTTGGAGCTTATCTTGTAGCTTCTGCCTCTTTAAAAAGCATTTTTTCTGATCTACTTTTAGATATATTTCCTCTGTTCTTCAAAATCATCCTGTGTTTCAAAATCCCAAGCCCAAGTAATTTGGAGAAAGGGTAGTTCTTTAAAATTTCACTAACTCAAATTGTTTTATAAAGAGTTTCCTATTTTATTTTTGGCTTTCTGAGATGTATCAATTCCTGATGGATCTTGGCTGGCTAGTGTCTCTTTAACACATTTACTTCACAATTACTACCTCTCCTACATTCCCCCAATTCTTATCCCACAGCAACTAATCAATTATCTGAAGGAAATATGTCTCAAGCTAATAGAACCCTTAGTTACAGGAATGTTTTGTAATAAGAATCTCCTCTTATGATTTAAATTATGTAAATTTAGATATTTTTTCTTAAGGAGGAAAAAGGGATATATATGTTCTAGCAATGACATATGCTGAAGGAGAAGGTCTAGTTGGCCTGTCATGAACTGCTTTCAGTATAAGCAGGAGGGACGTTGGGAGGCAATCATAGGGCACTTGTGAGAAATCAGGAGTTTGCTGCCCTGAGTATGGGATTAGTCAGGATCAAAAGCTTTTATCTTCTGATAACAGCTTAGTTTATTTAAAGAAGATTTCTATTTAAAAAGCTCTTTAAAAAATTAACTTCCTAAGTATACTGATAATTTACATACTAGTAAAAACTAGAAGTAGAAATTCTATCTAAAACTGTAGCTGCAATCAATTATATACCATGTGACAAGGGTTTCCCAATATGTTTTTTATTTTTTTCTTACACAACCACCCTACCCAAAAAAAACAAACACACTGTCACAGAGTTGATTCTGATTCATAGTGACCCTATGAGTATAGGGTTGCTATGAGACGACCATTCTAGATTAGTTTTGTTCTCATTGAACGTTACATTGCCTCAAGGTAGCTATTCACTCTTGAAGTCCCCAAGCTTGAGCTCATTATCCCAGCACTCAGAACTGCCTGCCTGGGACCTAAAGTATTCATTCCCTTTAACAAATCTTCACTGAGTGCTGCAGTTCTCAAATGAAATATGTAATGATGACAAATTTTCAAAAAGGCTAGGAAACATTTACTATAGTCAACAATACTTTTGTATTATGTTTAGTAAATGTTTTTTCTTTTTTCATTTCCATGTCCTTCCTTCCTATGCATTGCTGCCCTCCGAACTATCTCCCCATGCAAATACTGCCCTTCTGATCCTCCATGATTGATTGTTCTAAGGAGTGTATCTGCCTAGTGTAAATGTTCACCTTATATGCCTGTCTGTTGTTCGGCTGGAAGCCACAGGAGTGAGTTCAGTTCCAGGGTGACTAGGGGCCATTGTTTTAGGGGTTTCATCAGTCAGTAAGCCTGGTCTAAGGAATGGTTTTTATACACATTGGGACAAGCTCTGTAATATTTGCACTTTGAAGTATTTAAACAGTTGGCATATTATAGTATGTGACATTGGCCTTAAAATTCTATTTAAAATGCTTAACATTTTTAGACTGTGGTTTATAGTGGAAAGGTATTTAGAAATGTTAATAAGCCTGCCAAAATATTGGAATGTGTCAAAGAACTTAGAAAGTCACTATATGTTTAATTTATTATATTTATAAGAGTTAAGCACTTGGGAAGGTTTTGCTTGTTGGGTCAAGCATTTGAAGTGCTGCTTAAAAGAAAATCAAATACCTTAAATGTATAAATGCTGATAAATTGTTAAAGGAACTTGAATTGTAAATAGTACTGCTTAAAAAACATTTGTTCAACTTTTTCAAACGTTAATTAAAGATTCCCATTTAAAGTGGTTATTAAATGTTCTAGATTTTTAAAGGGAATTTTTGTAAGCCAAATTTAAAAGCTTAAAGGAAGTTAAGTTTTACAGTGCTTAACTTTAATAAATAGTCTTTTCTATGAACGAAATGCCCTTGCAGACTCTAAAATAACCTCAGTAGCAGGCTACATGCTATTCCCTTGGCCACAGTTGATTGGACCAGGGCTGAGGCACCCGACTAAAGTCTTCTTTCAAGGGATTCAAGGCCTTTATAATTGAGATTTATAAATTTCTTGATCTGGGGAGATATAGGTGGCTGAGAATAGGTCATTCCTGAATGTAAACCTGGCTGGTTTTTTTTTTAATGTTTTATTATGGTTTAGGTGAAGATTTATAAAGCATATTGGTTTTCCATTGAATAGTTTATGCATAGACTGTTTGATGACATTGGTTGCAATCCTCTCTGTGTCAGTACTCTCCCTGCTTCCATCCTGGGCTCCCCGTTTGCCCAGCTTTCCTGCCTTCTGAATTTTATCTTTGGGTAAATGTTCCCCTTTTTGGCCTCGTATTATTAAATGTTCTAAAGAATACATTCTTCATGAGTTTTATTGTTCACTTTATTAGCCTCCCTATTGTTTGACTGTAAGGTGGTCTCCGGGAGTGGGGGAGTGGTTTTAGTTCTAAGTTTGAAGGGTGTCTTAGGGCCATAGTCTTATGGGTTCCACCAGTGTCTATCAGACTAATAAGTCTGATCTTTTTCATGAATTTTGGATTTTATTCTACATTTTTCTCTCATTCTGTCACAGACCTTCTATTTTGATCTCGGTCAGAGCTGTTGGTTATGGTAGCCGGGTACCATCTGTAAACCTTCTTTTCATGGTTTCCCTAGCCTTGGCTGGGAGAGAGAGAATGGAAGGGAGATTGGAATGAAAAGCCTGAGGTTTCCCTTAAGAGAATCTTTGTTTGGGGGAGGTTGAGCGGGGGCCTGGTCTAGTGGAACTGTGGAAAGACTATTCCCACTAGCTTCTAGAGACGGAAGGAAGCAAATCCCAGCGTACTAAATGCTTTATCTGCTGTTTGCCTTGTTTGTGCCTCAATCTGTATTTTTGTTTTAGTAGTATCTCCTAGAGGAGCTCTGGTGGCATAGTGCCTAGGGCACTTGACTGCTAACCAGAAGGCTGGCGATTCAAACCCACCAGCCACTCCTCGGAAGGAAGGTTGGGCAGTCTACTTCCATAGTGATACTGCCTCAGAAACCCAAGGAGGGGGCGCTATGAGTCAGCTGACTCCATGGCAGTGGCTGTGTTGCATTTGCCTAGTATCTCCTAGCAATCCCCAACACAAAGTCTATGCTTTCATCAAGGTAGATTATTCTTTTCAAAATTAACTAGATTCTAATTTTAATTAACAAAATAGTTTTGATAATTGTGGTGGTTAAGTTTATCAACTTGGCTGGGCTTGGTTGAGTGGCTGGGCAGCTGAATGTAGTTGTTCGCCATGGTGAGATTGGTAATTAAGTCCATGGTGGAATCTATTGGAGCAGCTGAGTAGCTGCTTTGGGTATGTGGTCTGCTTTCCGTATATAAGAAACAGCTTTGGGGAACGGTCTCTAGCTTATGGCATGCTTGAACCCTGCATGTAGCCATGTTGTTCAGCAATCTGCCATGCTCTGCCAATCTTGAGACTTTCAATGGACTTGAATTCATGGCCCCATGTGGTTTGGTAATATTGGGACTATGCCTTCTTACTTGTCAACCTTGGGCTTGTCAGCCTCTGCAGCCAGTAAAGTAAAGTAAAGAGATGCCTCTAGCTTCAGTGAGCCGGGAGCAGGAGGCAGAGCTGAAGCCCAAGGTTGAGGAGTTTTCACCCAACCCCTAGAGCCTGGCACTTTGAACTCAGTTGTAAAGCCTCCAAACTGTAAAAGAATAAACTCCAGTTTGTTCAAGCCATCCCATTTGTGGTAAATTTTTGTAAGAGCAGTACTAGGTAACCAGAACAATAACATATGTATAAAAAGCCAGGCCCACTGCCATTGAGTCAATTCTGACTCACAGTGACCCCCAGTGAGTTTCCAAGGCTGTAATCCTTCAAGGAAGCAGACTGCCTACTCCGTCAAGTTAGATCCAACTCATAGT